GAGTCACCATTTTTAGACTATTTTCACCATCAGTGAATTATGTATTTTCTATTTCTGTGTATCCTTACTGCATAATAGCAACTGCAAACTTGTTAGCAAATTTGTTAATCTATCAGTTTCACCAGTGTTTCCTACCTTCTTGACTTTTCCTGTTATATTGAAATCTTTGACTAATTTGAAATTTACTTTGACATGAGAGGTGAAATAGATCCAGCTGTATTTTTCTCCCTAAATGGCTCACCAGTTATGAATAATCTGTCTTCCCCCAGGGATCTGAAAGAGCCTTTATCACATACTGAATTTATATATACACAAATATGTTTGTATTTTCTGATATTTGTCTTGAATATGTGTGTACATAAATAAATGTATTTGTCTATATGGTTTCAGACCCCTTTTTCTTGATTTTCTATTTTTTTTTTCTTTTTCAGTACTGGGGATTGAACCCAAGGCCTTGTAAATAAATTAAATAGCATGTATTAAATGTAAATTAAATAGCATGTATTTAATTATTGTAATTTAGCAAGTGTGACTAGTGGACAGAGCTAGTTCTTTTTCATATCCCCTCCCATCTATTCTTGCTTTTTAAAATTTTTTTTCAAATTGGATTTTGGAGTCATTCCTGCAGATTACCCCTTGCCCCAAACCCTGTTGTACTTTATTTAATCAATCTACAGATTGACAGAGGGAGAAACCATATTCTGACATTATTTGTCCATATACGGTACAAGGAATTTAAAAAAATGTTTTCTTTGCCTCTCAGTGGAGCTCTTTTATTCCATTATATTTGACTATTGCTTTGGGGTTTATGTATTCATTTTCTAGGACTGCTATTACACAGCACCATGAACTAGGTGGCTGAAGACTAAAGAAATATATTGTTTCACCTTTCTGGATTTGAGAAGTCTAAATCAAGGTCAGCACCGCTACACCCTCTCAAGGCCCTGCCAGGGGGTGGGGGGCGAGGAGGGATCTGTCCCAGGCCTTTCCCTTGGATTCTGGATTGCGTTGCTGTGTTTTGGCTCGCAGCTATGTAATTCCAGTCTCTCTGTAGTCAGAGGGCCTTCTGTCATCACATTTTCTTCCTATTAGGATGTCAGTTGTATTGGATTAAGGGCCTACTCTACCATAGTATGCCTTCATCTTTTATTTCTACAAGGACTGTGTTTCCAAATACAGTTCCCTTCTAAAGTACTGGGGGTTAGGTCTTCAACGTATCTTTTTGGGTGACATAATTCAACCCCCTAGCAGTTCTACGTTTTATAAGTGCTCGGGTTAATTTCTTAATGTATGCAATTATTTCACATAAGACTCTTGTGCTTTCCTGGTACTTCTCATCTGCATCTAGTGAAAATGATGTCTCATTTCCAATACATATTTCTCATTTATTTCTCTTACCTAGTCTTATTGGCTGGTACCTTATTACACCCAGCAAACAGGTAGATATTATCTTTAAAAAATTCTGCTTCATTGTCTTAAAAATTTGAATCTGCTTACTACTAGAGCAGAACAAAAACCATTTGTGGACTGGAATGGTATCCCAAGCCTGTGACCCCAGCTACTTGGGAGGCAGAGATTGGGAGGATTATGGTTTCAGGCCAATGCAGGCAAAAAATTTGCTAGACCCCAGTCTTAACCAATAGAATCTGGGTGCAGAGGCTGGCACCTATCCTCTCAGCTATGCAGGAAGCATAAATATGAGGACCACGGTCTAGACATAGGCATAAGGCAAAGCTCTATCTCAAAAAACAATCAAGGCAGAAAGGTCTGGGGGCATGGCTCAAGTGGTAGAGCACCTGCAAAGCCCAAGTTCAAACCTCAGTACTGCCCAAAAAAAAAAAAAAATTTTTTTTTTTTTGCATTTCTTCTGTGAACCATGTTTTTATCCTTTATCTACATTTTATACTGGAGATGTTTTTCTTACAATTTGAAGGAGCTCTTTGTGCATTAAAAATCCTAACCACTTGTGACATATTGAAAATATTCTCCTCAAAACATTGAAAGCACCTTCTCAACTACCCAGCAACCAACAGAAAGCACAAAACAAAATATAAGGCACAGATCTGTGACACAGTTGTACATTTCTGTGTAACAGTCAATACCTGAACAAACAATTTTCATCTTGTAAGAGCAGTAACACGAACAGTGGAGTGCAATGTAGATTTTTATGAAGCACTCTTGAAAATTTCAAGTACACTAATACTTATAATTTGTTCATAGTATACCATTTACAAACCATTCAGTTTCTTCCCAGCTAAAGCACTCGAAGGCGCTTCAAGGACTAAATGATCTGGTTAACTCTTTGATACCAAATGCTGTACAGCTCTTGCTGTTACATACACGCCAAGTTCCCACTGACATTTAAAGGCTCTAGTTCTCATCAAAGGAAGGATTAACCTGTCCTGGGTTTATCTAAATGATCAGATAACAAGATTTAAGTGACAACCAGCTGTAGGATATGTCCTTATTAAATTTGATAGGATTTTTAAAAACCTAACTAATGTAATGAGTTTGCAAAATGACTTAGATTAAACAGGTTTGACTGCTCAATTTGGAAGGGATTCAGCGCACAGGTATGGTCACAGAGGCACTTAAAAAATCTTACACTTTGAGTGTTGCTGACCAGAAAGTTGAGAAATGTTAAACGAATATTACAAGATACTGTTTAAACCAGTTTTCATTACTCATAAAATAAATGAGCTTATTTTGGCAGTTTTTTTTTTTTTCCCTTTTCCTACTTCCCGTAAGTTCCATTCCTTCCTAAGGAACTGTTTTACATGGTACTACGTAGAATGAAAAACGACCTATTTTTTTGGTGGGGGAAGGGGGCGAGATGGGTTTTGAACTCAGGGCCTCATGCTTGCTGAGCAGTTGCTGTATCACTTAAGCCACACTTTTAGCCCTAGTTTTGGGGATATTAATACTCAGAAAATGTTGTGTCCCCAAAGCTCAGATAGAAAGCCCCATCCAGGGTTACTGACAGAGGAATTTGATTTATAAGGGCTGATCTTCACGTTAGCTAAGCATAAGTAAAGAAAGTAGGACTTGTGAGTGCTCTCAGCAATGTCAAAGCCAGCCAGGATTTGGTTGCCTCACTCATTCCATACTATTTCTTTGTTCTATGTACCTTGTTACATAGAAATTATGTGCTCTTTGTTGTATAAAGAAATATAAATGAGTTTTATTATATGTATCTGCCTCTCTTTTGCTTGTCCTCCATTTGGAAGCCCTGTATCTATCTTGCAAGGACACATTACCCTGACACTTCATAGCTGCAGGGTACACAATCTTGTACATTCACCAAGTCAAATAAACTGATACCTACAAGTTGATATAGAATTTTTATACAATAATCTCGTTTTATAGTAGGGCAGTGTTTCACTAGTGGACATGATCACTATTTAAAATGTGAAACTGAAAACATCAGAGGAATTGTTCATAGGAAGGATATATTGTTTCGAGTATGTACATGTATACACATACAAAACACTAGTTACATATTTCCCATACATGTACAGAGTAACAATAGGAAATGTATTTTCGTAAGTTTGTGGTCAAGACAGTTTGCAAGTCCTATATCAAGAATGTTTGTGATGTGGAGTCCTTGACATCCCTTCTTACTCCAGAAGTTCGAGCTGTTCTTTTCTACTCAACCTACGAATGTTAATTGAGCAAATATGATATGTTGCTTGGGATATCAGGTGTTGCAGCAGGAAAAGGCAAGATTAAATTTGGCAATTTCTACCTGTTGTTTGCACAGTTGTAAACTTTTTAAATAAAAACAAATTGATGCTGAATCAATTACAACACTCATAATTAAATATGTTTCTCAATGGAAGTTTCCACTTCTCATAGGAGTGGAGTATGTCAAAAATTCCAGAAACATAGCTTTCACAGAATATTCGGTTTGTGCTTCTCATTAACACATGGAAAGCAATCCAGCATAAGATCTATGGTTGAGATGTGAATTTTCTAAGAATGTATTTCTTTTCGTCTACCAAGTTTATTGATTTCTTCTTTCCTAGGCTTTTGGCAAGGAACTATTTCTTTTAGCAATAAAGATTTGGTCCTGACTTCAAAATTCCTCTCCCAAATTTTTAAAAAATGTCTTGTCCTCTTCATGCTTTAATCAGTCAAGCAAACATTTGGTATAAAATACATCTATGTGTGTGTTGTATGAGAAATTAGGTAGAGGCTTGAGAGTTACACATTTAAGATTACTAAAATCCTTTATTTAAATGAAACCCTATTTAAAAAACAAAATATACTCACATCCTCCACCCCAATAAAGTCAACCTGTTGGTCTGATACTTGACATAAACCACAATATAATCTGAAGAGTTTCAACTCTTAGTACTCATATCTCTAAGATTGAATCTTAGTCCCAAGTTTACACTATAATCTGTTAATTTTTACTTTCTTAACTCATCCTCTACTCACCCCAGATACTTTTAAAATGGCATGTAGTATTTCTTGGTTTCTTTTGCTTTTAATTTTTTTGGCAGTACTGGGGTTTGAACTCAGAGCCTCGCATTTGGCTAGGCAGGCATTGTACCACTTGAGCCACATGCCCAGCTGGTACATTTTAAAATGACATTCCAATTTAGAAATGCGTCTGACACATGTTATCCTCTGGTGAAGTAATTTTTGTATGTGTAAATAAGATTTTATTTAAGGAGTACATCATGTGCTTTTTAACAACAGAAGTCTTTAGAAATAACATTAAGACTTATTTTTCTCTAATCTCGACAGCTTCGATAAAGGTACATTATGGTTTCGAGTAATCACTTGCAACTTTGAAAACCAGATCAACTATACTACCCATACCGCTGTATTTTACAGTGGCAAAAGCCCAAGATTTTTTTTTTTTTTAAACTCCAACTGAGTTTTAAAGTTTAAAAGTCACTTAATACTTTTGGTTCATTATATCAATGCTCATTATAGGCTATTGAGAGAAACTCATACACATTTCTAGGAATGTAAGAAAACAAAATAAGTTGTCATATTAGAAAATAAACTCAAATGATTAGGTAATGGATTTACAACTGTGCTAGCAAAATGCTTTGTGACAAAATGATACTTGATACTATCAAGACAGTGTAGGTTTGGCTACAGCCAGCATATGCTGGAGTTGGCCTGTCTTCTCCCAACTGTTGAGTGATGTCAGGTCAGAAGCTTGAATCTGGTCATAGCTCAAGTACTCTTATCACAGAAACTGACAAAGTTACAAATCACAGGTTCCCTCCCATTTTGATGAGCCAACAGTTACTATTCTCTTAAAATAGAATTTAATTCTTCACTATTTATAATAATCTTATTTGAAGACCTACATGGTTGATGCTTTCTGTATATATTTTTCTCTTCTAGAAAATGACTTGTTTCCCATTAGTTTGTGGAAATGGAAATGCTACACTTTCATTATGAAGGGACAAATACGTGAGGCCTTATCCATAGAGATCTTCCTTTCTTATCAAGGAGTTGAATTCTATTAAAAATAAACTGCTTACAGTTTGGGTTTTTATTTAAAAACTGCTGTCCTGTGTTTAACTCAATCCATGAATACAAAACAAAGTATTTGATTTTCAGCTAGAAACTATCAGATTTTAATTATCTGTCAAAAATGTTTTATCTGATTTAATGATAAAAAGATTAAAAATTTTGTAAAGTATGAAATAACAATTTTATTTGATGAATTCTTAACACATTAAAATATGCAAAGTAAAAATATATGCAATAGCATCATAAAAACACATTCTTATACTACTTTGAACACACAGCAGTGGTTAAAAACAATGACTAGTAAAATGGGCCCCAAAATTTAATGCAGAAAACACTATATTGAAGGTTCAGGCTTCTAACTTCACTGAATCCAGGACTAGACGTGCTTCTTTGTATTCCTCAGCTTCTTCCAAGTCCTTTTCACTTTCCTGAAATGAAAAATTATATTTATCCTTCCCAAATTTCAGTACTTCAGTAGTTATGCAAATATTATAAAACATTAGAAGTAAATAACTCAAGAATTAAAAGAAAAAGCATCCCAAACTTCTTGTAAATATACCACAATTCTGTTCCTTCATTACAGCAGAAGGGAAGAAATACGTTTGGTTTTGTTTTTTCTCTACATATTCTCATAATGTATTCTATTCTCCTATAAGTTAGTAATAGTCTTCTAAAGTTATAGCATTAAAAACCTCTGAAAAATTTAATTCCCATTTTGTCAGCATCCTCATACAAAATAAATTATGAATAATGGATTAAAGGCCAAAAAGGAGGATTTACTAATGTGTTATTTATACAACATTTGGGTCAAAATAATACTCTAGCTACACACAGTGACAAAGGCTGCTATTGGTGTTATACCAGTTAAATATAATCTTTGAATTAGAAAAGTGAATTGTCTGCTTATTAATGAGTATTACACATTCTACACTAAAAGATGCAAAATACTAGTATCTTTCATTTTCTGGTATCTTAAGATTTTTTTCTATGACACTGATATATAGGAAACTTACTAATATACTATAATGATAACAGACAAATGAAATATCAAATAATTATTATACATAGGAAATTGTTTGATTTTTTATGTGAAACTGAACAATTCATGTCAGGTCAATAAAAGATGGATCTATACAGCTATTAATGAGAAAAGAGAATGAAGTATAGGTATATTTAATATAAAACTTTAAAGCAAAAGGACTGACAATTTGCTGAACTCAGACTATAGGTCAGAATTTCTTAAACCTATATATTACACCTTAAACCTGTCTTTATTCTGTCATTAAAACAAGCTCACTGAGGGTAGAGATTTGGTCAAATACATTCTCATGCATAAATGTATTATCCAAAGACATTTTTTCAAGCAATTTATATTATTTTCTCAGCTACTATATTCATGAGAGAAAAAAAGCATCTGAGCTGTAAGGAAACAAATGAAGCTTTTCTGTAGTATTGTAACCAGGAGTATTTCCTGCATTATCTGTCTTCTACTTCAAAGCCACAGCTTCTTTTTTGGCTCTTCAAAGCTTTTTATACATAAACATGGAGTTCTGTGTCAAGATCACTATAAAATATAAGCTTTCTTTTTCCTACAGACTTAGTTTGAACATGGCAGGAGAACAAAAATTTCATTCTCTTTCAAAGACTGAAAAAGCCTTATTTTTGTTATAGGAGGGAACAAAAATAGCTATGTATCTAATAATTAATATTAGCTCAAAAACTACAAACAGAAAATAAGATTCGTAAAGGAAATGTTAGAATTTATCAGTTATCCAATAGCAACAATAGCTTGCAGAAAGAAATAAAATGACTTGTACTTCTACTTTGAATCATTTATAAACTGAATATTATCACAAAGTATTTATACCAGTAAGTCTGATAACGGAGCCCCCAGCTCCAAGTTCATCATATGAGGGGGATGCCTACATTACCATTTTTTTTAACTCTCTCAAATAGATTTAGGTTTAAATCTGAAAGAATTTCAGATCTTTAAAATAAGAGCCCAAACAATGGATCTTTTAAAATTTCAAACAGTCATCGTAGCCTGAATCTGTCAAAAAAAAAAAAAATCTATGTGTGAAAACCAATTTAAGATACTGCTTGATAATACTGGTACTGTGAAAACCTATCATAACTCAAATATTTAACTAAATTTAAGTAAGTAGAATAAACATGATAGCAAACTAATTTTACTGGAGTCATAACTTGAAACACAATTTAAATCCCATTAATAACTGGTATACAGGGCAAGTGAATAAAAATTTCTCAACCAGTTCTCAGTGTTACAGATATAAAATATTACCTTCTGGGTACTGGGTAAATCTTTACTTACTAGTGTCTGCTGCAGGTCAGTGTAGGCTGCCTCCAACCTGCGCTGGCAATCTGGGATCATCATCCGGGACTCCTGCAGGATCTCTGCCTGTAACAAGAATCTCTCTCTGTGAGGCATGAAGGTGAGAACGTGCAGGATCTCTGCCTGCAACGACAGTCTATCTATCTCTGTGAGGCATGTAGAGATGAGAGAATGTGTGTATGCTGAGTTCACACCTTGGTAAATATCTTTTGTTCATTTTTATTAGCATATACTCATTGTACAAGGGGGTTCACTGTCCCAATTCCAAATAGCTTTACATTGTATACTGGTTAGATCACCCCACCATGTCCCCCCACAACCCCCTCCCTGCCCCACTTAAAGCAACTGTGAAAGGTTTCATCATTCTATTTCATGTATGTATATGAAGCCTATCAACCATATTTCTTCACCTTCATTTCCTTCATCACCCTCCCCCTCCCACAAGTACCCTCTCACACTGTAAATATCTTATTTAGAGGAACCGGAAAAAATATGATTGTTAGGTGGTTCAGTATTTTAATTTAAACTGTGCCTTATTTGAAGTTAGAAAGATTATCATACTATAAATTCTACCAAGTACAAGTTCTAGAACTTGTACTGAAGTTCTTTGTTTTTGATAATCACCTTCTCATGGTTAAGTGAAAATTAACTGGAAAAGCTATGCATAGAGCACTTACTTTACAAGGCTATTTAAATAAACTATTTCCCCTGCTGTCACAAAGCACCTTTATCCAAAATGGGATCAGCTGGTTATATAAATATCTCCTGCATCTTTTCAGTAATAAAGAAAAACAGTGTTCAGATAATATCACATAGAGATAATTACTGCATGGAAAAGTCATTGAGTTATTGATCACATCATGTGCACACCACAGGGGGCTCTCACTGAAAGAAAGAGAGAAAGAAAAACGAAGAGCAAAGACCAGCAGGTTCATATTTTTGATGCTTATCATGCATAAAAAGTTATTACTTATCCTTGTGCTCCATTTTAGGAGAGAGATTATTCTCCCCATGCACTTTGAGCCAAATTACCTACATGGCACCCCTCTGAATTTGAACTTCCCACAGTTCCTCCTGAAGACATACTACAAAGTTAAATGTGAGGATGTTTATTCTAAAGTGTATGTTCGGAAATAAAAATCTACCGTTCATAGCTGGACTGTGACCACATCAAATTGTAAAAGGAAAAAAAAAATCAGTGTCTGGGAAACCCAATCAATAAGTGAAGAGTCAGATGCTGGATGCAAAATAAGCGTTTCTTAAGGAAAGCAGATTTCCTTAAGCTATTCTTAGAAAGAGACACAGATAGCATGGTAACATTAATATTTAGACAATATTGTTTGATCAAATACCAACTTTAAGATTATCTAGCTCAAATAAAATAAAAAGGAAAGATATAAATTAGTGGTAATAATACTGTATGATAATAGAAATCATAGAAGTCCCAGTCTTTTCATCCTTTTCCTAAACAGCTCACTGTAAACAAAAATCAGAATTGAAATGTACAAGGCTGTTTCTCAACTGCTCTTCTTCCAGGTGGAAATGCATTGCTGAACCCGTAACTCTTTTACTTAATATGGCACGAGGTGAAATTTCAAACACAGATCATGACTTTACTTTGAGATTAAATGGACATTTACTCAATGACAATAAATTATTTTTGCATATCTGGCTAGTTTGAGTATGTGTGAAAAATCAGTGAGTGACAGGAACATTTAAGATTTTCTCTCCTATGGAATTCTTTCAGAATAGCTTATAGGAATTAACATGATTCACTGAAATGAATACAAAGTGTTAGGTCAAACCAATGGTAAGTCAAAATGTACATTTATAATTAATAGTACTAAAAGTAACATTAAAGGAACTTCTATTCACCATTAGTCTATTATTACTGAGCAAGAATCTTCAATTAGTCTATAAAAATGAAACTCTTTACTTAAGCAGGCCAAAAGTTCAGTTTCCTATATTCCACCCCAATTTATTCAACATGCTTACTCTATATTCAGATTTAGACCATACACAAATGATAGTCACATGTATAACCAGTGACATATGAGCCAGTTATGTATTGTACCATCATCAGTTTCATGGTTTGGACACTGTACTATAATAATGCAAGAGGCTGACACCAGGGGAAGAACAGTGAACGGTACACAAGACTTCCCTGAATATTTTTTCCCAACTTCCTGTGAATCTCTAACAAAAAAACTTAAAAGGAACAGAACACCATTTCTAAACTTGAGTATATATACCAAGAGACAAAAATATTTTCTTTTAGACTGAAAGTTGTTCCCCGACCCCCTTTGCTTTCTCAGTACTGGGGACTGAACCCAGGGCCTTGGTCATGCTAGGCAAGCACTCTACCATTTGAGTCATGCCCCCAGACCTTTTGTTTTATATTTTGTTTTTGAGATAGGGTCTATCTAACTTTGCTTGGGCTAGCCTCAAATTCATGACTCTCCTGCTTCCATCTCCCAAGTAGCTGGGATTACAACAGGTATGCACCAGCACATCTGGCTTAAAAGTTATTTTTTCATATTTTTATTATTAACAAATTCTGAGTGACCCTGGGTTAAATTCTTCTTTGTCTACTGAATTCTCCTAATATTTTCCATACATTTAATGAAAAAGAAACATCATTTTTAAGAAAAGGAACATCTCATTGTAAACACATGATTCAAATGAGCCACAAAAATGTGTAAAATTTCACATCAATGTAACTATTGTATATGTAATAATTGAAGAGTTTTTATAAGTAACCTTTGTCCAAAAGTTGTGCCAGTATGTGTTATAACATTCCTTATTAAAATAAGTCATGACTCAGTAGAGATAACAGATAAATTTGACTGAAGGTCATAACTGCCAAACATTTCTGTTCAGGATAAGCTAAAACAAAACAAAAAACCCCCAAATAAGCCAAAGTATCATCACCAACTGAGGGCAAAACCCTCCTCATCCATTCCTAATTAGGGAGTGGAGGGTGTAGAGAAGAGAGCTATCACAAGCAGAAGGCTAAGATCAACTGGAGTAGTTTATGAATGCTGTGGCATACTGTTCAGTCAGAAAAACAACGGGCAATCAAATAAATTCCTTAATGGACTGGTATTCTGGCCTCTTAGGGTCCTGATAACTCTTGCCTAGTTATTTTATTTCAAAGAACTAAAATTAGACTGAGACCAATGGGATTCTCCCCTGATTTCTGGCAACCAATGTCAGGTAAGAAGTTTGGTAGAGACTGAGAGACAGCATCAGAAGTATGTGTTATAAAATAGGTCCAGTTTAAGAGTTAGGAAAGCCAGAGCAAAATAGATCTGGGTGAAAGATGAGCCAAGGTAGTGAGCAGTAGCTAAGGATGGTATTTAACTCAGAAGAGGAGGAAACCCAGAGATGCCTACAATATAGAGAACCTACAAAACGCAGCACTTAGCTTCTCAGAAACATGGCAAATGTCACAAAGCCATTACTGACTCCAACTCCTGGGCAATTGAGAACAGAGCAGTCCTCAACATACCCAATGTATATAATAAAAAACATGAAGTGATCACAATATAGCAAAGCTAGGGAAAGGAAATTGAGAAAAAAATGTAGGTTGGGCTAAAGACAAATATTTAGAAGTCTCTGAAATAAAACTAAAATTGTCAACTGTATAAATTAAAGGTTGATAACAGTGACAAACAGAAAAATCTACTGTTCTGCAATTAGATATGGGGTATATATTGGATATAAGAACTAGGCTAATTATAAATCTCTTACAGATGTTATATACCATGATCACTGTGACAAGAGAATTTTAACATGTTATATTGAAGGGACTTTAGAACAAAACCTTTTCCCTTTCACATGTGCTTACATAGTCAATTATATAACCAATATATGTCTAATATTTTTTAATAACAACTGGAACACACAAGTCAATAGTTAGCTTTATATATAAAGTAGTAATTTTACTAAAAATGACAAATATATAAATGTAAATAAAACAGATTCTGTGATAACCTGTGACATTATTTGTGTAATTTTATTTAGAAAGGAAGCATTTGTTCCCCCACTTTATGTACTTTACAACTGCCACTGGAGTTACAGGGCTATTTTTAGACACATTATTGGTGATAAAAGGACAGGGCAAAGAAAAGCCCTCAATGAGGGCACTAGCTACAGGATTATGAAAATAAGCCTAATGGGATCTAAGAAGGACCTGGATGAAACAAAACTATATGCCATGTCATAAGACTTTCCCACTAAATGTAGGAAAACAGTAGAGAACATTAAAGTGACAGAGGCACAGAAGTAAAACATATCATTTAAAAAAAAAAAAAAAAAAACCTTACATTCCATATGTAAATCCATACAAAAGGCAGGAAGTCTGTAAAGGTCAATTATTAGGGGAGTACTATATCTCTACATCAGTTTACCTATTCTCCTCCAATTTACAAATATCAGACACACAAATTTCCTTTATGTACAAAGTGCTATTCACGCAGAGAGGAAGGCAGACTCTCTTAGTTGCTGAAGAAAATAAGAAGGTTCTCTTCCTGGATAGACTACAAAAGATGGCATTTCAGTGCTGCATTCCTGAAATTTGCAGAAAGCAAATGCCTACAGAAAATCCATTTTAAGGATTGATTTTGCTGGGTTAAGTCTTGGTTAAGAGTGTGTCATAACCATTTGTAGCATAATCTACATGATGAAAACCAAAGTTTTGAGATAGATAATGTGTGTAGCATGTTCAGATTCTTTTTCCTAGTATCCTCTGGGTTTTGTTTTAAATGCACTGGATATCAGATTTTAAGAAGAGGAGTCAGTGATCTAAGGTACATTTTAAAGAGTTCCATCTGGTTGTTGTAGGAAAAGAATGGAGAATGTCAACAGTCAAAGAGATATGCCAACTAGGAGGTTTTCACTATAGAGTGACCAAGAGATATTAGCAAGCTGGACTAGAAATGAGGCAACAGACAAAAAAACCACAAGAAATATGAAATAGGACTTGGGGATATTAGATGTGATTGTTATGAGAAAGTATCAAAACAGAACCATGGATGATACCATTTACTGAGATGAGGAAAATCAAAGAAGAATAGCTTTCTGTTTCGAGGGTAACTGGTTGGGGGAAGATAGAGATTTTTATTTTGAACCTGCAAGAGCATATGTAAAGTAATTAGTAGAATATGTGTATCTAGAATGGTCAAGCCCAAAGATAAGAACTTGGGATCACTGGTTCCAGAATGAGTGCCAAGTAAGTAGGGACTCAGTTGTTGCTTTGTTGGTTTTTAATGCCATGCCTAAAAGAGTGCCTAGAGCAATGTTCGGCATGTGGCAGGTATCAAGCAAATTCTGTTGAGTGAAAAAATGAGTAAGTACAAAGATGGTATTTAAGGCCAAAGTTTCGTTTTGAGATTATTTATAGAGGAAATATAGATATATAGGTACAGCTTGGTGTGGTGGTGTATACCTATAACCCTACCACTTGAGATGCTGAGGCAGAAGGATCATGAGTTTGAGGCCAGCCTAGCCTACATAGTGAGACCCTGGCTTCAAAAAAAAAAAAAAAAACCAAAAAATAAAATTTTTTTTTTAAAAGTACATATACATGTGGAAAGAGAAAGGTTCAGCAAAGGAGACTAAGAAATAATGGTAGTGAAAAAGGAAATTCGGTAATGTTTTCTATTAAATAAAATCATATAAAAGTTTCAAGGAGGAAGTGACTTATGTCTAATGCTGTTGAGTTATGTAAGATAAGGACAAAGGAGTGATGACAACATGGTTGATAGCTGGAACCAGGACTAAGGCACAAGGTAGAGATGCAGGTAGCTTAGTAGATTTTGTGGTAGAAATATGAAGAAGTTCCTAATGACTGCTCCTATTTTTTCAAGGAGTTATGAAGTAAGTATCACTGAGAGTGAACATTCAATAAATGCCACAATGGAAATGCACAAGTGTTATGGAAGCACAAGGGACAGACGCCTAGCTCAGTGCACAGGTGGGTGTAGGAAAGTTTGTATGATGAGTAGGAATTAATAATGAGAGAGAGGGTAAAAGGAGCAGACAGATCAGATTGGGCATGTGCAAAATCCCACAGGCAGAGAAGAAAAGCCATGTTCAGGAAACTAAAAGGCAAAAATCTAAGAGGGCCAGCAGGAACCTTTAAGGATGAGGTGAAAGAGCTATGCAGATGCCAAAATCAAGAACAGCCTTGTATGTGATGCAATAGATATGATTTGTGAGAAGGCAATAGATATGATTTTGGTTTTCACATTAGTTTGGAGAAAATAGTTCTAAAATTAAGTAAGTACATTTAATATATAATTAGCCCATTTTTATATTTAATACTGAGAACTGTAGAGGCCATATAGTTAGAGGTGAAGCGTATAGATTCTAGAGCCAGACACTTGTGTTCAAATCCCAGCTATACCACTTAGCAATGGAGTCAGCTCAGACAGTCATTTCAACTGGGTTTCAGTTTCTTATCTTTAAATGGAGGTGTTAAGTGAAGTACAGCAGCATCTCAGAGGGCTGCTGTAAAGATTACTTCAATTAATATGGGTATTCTGTAAATGTTAGCTATCACTAAATATATTTTACCTGCTTTTTAATGACATAATTTTCACCATCTTCAGCTTTCATTTTTTCAATCTTTTCTTCTTGTTGCTTTGCTTCTTTTTCATACATTACTTTTTCTTTGACCAATCTGTAAATAAGCAAAAAATGTTTCAAAGAATTAGCTTTTTCTCTAAAGAATAAACCATAAGAAACAAAAAAATTATATAAATGTGAAACAGTTAAAATGCTGAAGTGGATAAGCAGATGGAGACAGAAGAAAAGCACTGTGGCCATGGATATTAAGTCTGACAGTGTGCTCATAAATCCTATCATCTGAACAACACATAAAATCTGTACAAACGCAACATTCTTATTTTTAAAATTGAAATGCACTCCACGATACTACATTTACACTGAAAACATTGGAAATTATTACGTGCTGACATTTCTATACTGCTTTTTTTCTTGATGGTTCTCCAAAACTTTACACATATACTTGAAAGAACAATTTTTAAAAGCTTAGCTTACTAGGAAAAAAAAAATCAGTTATATTGTATGCCAAATCCCAAAAAAAGAAAGACTAATTATTTTAAACAAAAACACTGTTTAACAGATTTTTACTGTCTACTTCGTATTATGCCAGGCTTTTCTTGTGCAAGGAACTAGGATAACTCAGATGAGGTTCTTCTTACAGACAAGTCATGGAAACAAACCAGTGTGGATTTACTAAAGCGAGAAAAGGTACTGACTGCAGATTTTTGATAACAAGGAATGGAGCAATATGAAACTCTACCAATTGCCCCTTACATAATCAAAGGTTAATTGAGCATAATAGCTCATTCTCCCCTAATTCTGGCCAAAGTTTAAATTAATTGTCAGCATTTAACAGTATATAGTATATTATGTGAACCTCATGCACTCACATCCTGAAATATCTCCAGTGAAAAGATCAAAGTACAGGCTGGGAATAGTGGCTCATGCCTGTAATTCCAGCTTTTTAGGAGAGACCAGTCTGGGCAAAAATTTAAGTAAGATCCCCATCATATCAATAAACCAGGTTTGGTGGTACATATCTATAATCTCAGTTACTTGGGAGGCTGCAGGTCACAAGACTGTGGTTTAATACCAGCCCTGGGCAAAAACATGAAACCCTACCTGAAAATAACTAAAGCAAAAAAGGCTGGAGAGAGATATGGCTCAAGAGCGCCTGCCCTACACCACACAAGGTCTTCATTTCAAATCCCAGTAATGCTGCACCCTGCCTAAGGGGAAAAAACAAATCAAAGTACAAAATAGGCCATAAATTTTATGTTGCCAATATATAAACAAACAAGACAGGGCACTACTCTTTGTGGTTACCTGAGGAGAAAGCCCTAATGATGTGGGGAAGGGAGGTTAGCTAGAGAGTAGGGACACTTTTATTTCAAGCCTGTTGATAGAGTGTAAGATTCTCCCCCATGCATAAATATCACTTCTATGAAAACAGATACTGAGATCATCTCTGATTAGTACAATTTTGAGTAATTTTAAAGTTTACTAGTTTTCCCTTTGGCTATGCTTACTTAGTTTTCTGAAATAAAAATTCAAAGATACAGAATCTACCTGATGGGTATAATTCTCTAAATGCTGCTCTCCTTTTGCAAATGCTATCAGTTAAAATAATACAAAATAATAAGGTATTATAGTTTAAAGGCGAAGTTAGCTGAAAATAATTTCCATTAGTCCTACAAACCCATACCTATTAGATAAGCAACATAGCAACTTCAAAGTCTGGTAAGGTTAAATATGTAAGCAGAAAAATAAGAATAGTAAGGACAGCTATAAAGACATGACCGCCAGCAGGGTAATACACTGTAGACACTCCTTAGCTGTGCACACAATTTTATACACAAAATATTTCATGATGCACTAATCAAGTTTAAAAAGCATTCTTGCCAAATCTTACAGATTTCAGATGTGTGTTTGCATAGTAAAAGGTCCTGAGAAGTCTTGTAGTAAGGACATCTGTTTAAGTTTGTCCAACTGCAAACTTAATTGAAGTGAAAGATTATTTCTCTCTCAGCATGCTCCAGAATGGCTGCGTCTCAGCAAGTTTGAGAAGTACTTTCTGAAATCCATGAGCTTTTCACGAATGTGTAATCAGCATATTTAAATATACTGCTTACAAAATGCTAAATACAATAAAGTGTTCGGATAAATCAAGAATTAGAGAAATTAAGACTAAAAAACTTAAGCTTAATCTGTTTAAAGATTTTCGTATTTAAATAAGATTTTCATAGTTGTTACTATGTAACTAATTAACTTGTATTTATGGCCATCTACTAATACTCCAATGCCAAGGCATGCAAAGTATATAGATGACAGCCAATGCAATTAATAGTGATTTGAAAAAAAAAAAAAGACTGCAGGTTTAGCTCAGTGGTCCACCCTGCTTATGTGAGGCCCCGAGTTCAATCCCCAGTGCCCCAAATACAAAATGGTAAGAAATAGAATGATATTTAGAGCATTTTATCGTGGATACTTTCAAGCAAAAGTAGAGAAAGTAGAATGACGATCACCACATCCTCATCACTCACCTCTAATAACTATTAACATTTTGACAATCTTATTTCATGTCTCCTGGCACTTATTATTTTATTTTTATTATTATTATTATGTGTGTGTGGTGCTGGGGATCAAACCCAGGCCATGAAGCTAAACAAATACTCTGAGCTACATCTCAAGCACATCATTTGATTTTTGAGGTTAACAAGGCTATATTCTTCCTGGTTCTTCTATCATATGCAAAAATGGATAAAGGTCTAAAGGTAAGAGCCAAATTATGAAGCCCCAGGATGAAAGCACAGAAGTAAATGGTGGTGACCTTGGATTGGGCAAAAAAGTTTTAGATACAACACGAAAAGCACAAAAGAAAAAGAAACTGATTTTCAAATTAAAACACATTTGTGCTTCAATGGACACTATCAAAAAAGAACTACAAAACGAGAGGGTGACATCAAGAGGATCACAGTTCTAGGCCAGCCTGGGAAAAAACATTTGAGACTCCATCTCAGTGAAAAGAGCTGGGCACGGTAATATATGCCTGCCATCCCCTACAGCGGGACGCCTGCAGTAGGAGGGCTCCAGTCCAGGCCAGCCTGGGCAAAAAGTGAAACCCTATCTGCAAAATACCCAGAGCAAAAAGAGCTGGAGGTGTGGTTCAAGCAGTAGAGTATCTGCCCAGCAAACTGAAAGACAAAGGATCTGAATAGGCATTTTTCTACTGAAGATACACAGATGTGCGATAAACATGTGAAGAGATGCTTGATATGGTTAGTCATGAGTAAAATCAAGATGCCAGTTAGGATGATCAAGGCCAAACAGTCAGATAATTAATAAGTGTTGCCAAAGACTCAAAGAAGCTGGAACCATCCAACTAGTAGACTTGCTTTGGAGTTTGGCTAGTCTTCAAAAAATTAAGCAAAGAGTTACCAATATTTTTGTTGCTGTTGTTGTGGCACTGGGGTTTGAACTCAGGGCCTCACATTTGCTTAAGCAGGTCTCTTACTGCTTGAGCCACTCCACCAGCCTTATTTTTGTATGGTATTTTGGTTTTTTGGGGCTACCTTCAAACTGATCCTTCTGATCTCTTCCTCCTGAGTAGCTAGATTGAGCCACCAGCACCCTGCCCAATAAAAAAATTTTAAAAAGTAAAACAACAGCTGGTGGAGTGGCTCAAATGGTAAAGCACTTGACTAGCAAGCATGAGGCCCCGAGTTTAAACACCAGTAACACACACACACACACACACACGCGCGCGCGCGCACGCACAAACTAACAAATGTTCTAGCCATTCCATCCCTAGATGTATCCCTAGAGAAATGAAAACATGTCCACACGATGCAAATTCTACAAATGTTCACAACAGCATTATGCATAGCAGGCAAAGTGTGGAAACACTAAGTGTATTTACAAACAGACAAAAAATGTGATCTATCCATTTAACGGAATATTATTTGGCAATAAAAAGGAGTGACATACTAACTCATGCTACTATATGGACGAACCTTGAAAACATTACAGTACTGTGAAAGCAGCCAGACATAAAATGCCACGTATGGTACAATTCTTTATAGGGTACACACAGAAGAGAGAGAAAGTACATTTGAGGTCGCCTTGGTTTGGGGGAGATAGGGAAAAGGGAGAGTGACAAAGTGTATAGGCTTTGTTTCTTAAATTATGAAAATGTTCTAAAAATGCTATTGGTAATGATTATACAACTCTGTAAATATACTATGAAGCACTGAATTGTAGGTTTTAAATGGATGAATTATGTGACATGTGAATTTTATCTAAATAAATCCATTACAAAAAAAAAAAGTTTGTGTCCACAAAGTCAGCTGCCGGGGAAAGATCCAAGTACTGATATATGGAGCACAACAATGAACAGTGAATCTTATGTACAGAAAGTGCATTTTATTTATAATTTAAAATTGCTTTAACAATAATTTTCAATAAAGAAAATATCCTAAGATTCAAAATTTCAAGATAAAGTCATTAATGCATATCAGTACATGTATTTGTTCAAAAGTTCCTTTTAAATAGTAAAAGAAACTAGTCAGGAATGGTGGCTCTTGCCAGTAATTCCAGCTACTCAGGAGGCAAAGACTGGGAGGACAGCAGTTGGAGGCCAGCCCAGGCAAAAAAGTGAGACCCCCGTCTCAACCAATAGCTGTGCCAGTGGTTCAGTCTATCACACCAGCTATTCAGGAAACATAGACAGGAGGATCATGGTCCAGGCTTGTCTGTGCAAAAAATGAAAAATAAAAAAAAGTGAGACCCCATGCAAGAAGGACTGGGAGCATGGTTTAAGTGGTAGAGCACCTGCCTAGCAAGTGAGGCCCCGAGTTCAAACTGTAGTACTCCCATTTCCCGCAAAAAGTAAACGAAACTTGGTTGCAGAGACAGCATATTGCTATCCTGCTTAAGTAAAAGCTGAAGATGGCCTTAACTGACTCATAATGTAAAAAGCAAGAATAAGACTCCCGTGCTGGGAAAGTTGGCATGTGAGTCTGGATTTCCGTAGCTTTCCTTGGGTGATTTCACTGAGAACACTGCAGCTCTACTCCCACTTCTAACTGGAGCCAAGTTGGGCCTGTTACCTCTTTT